AAAAAAAAAAAAAAAAAAAAAATTTTCTGATAGTCACGGGTTATGTTTTCTTATGTGGATGCCTGAAAATGGGAAAAAAGGCCAATGAGTAGAATTTATGGTAATAGATTTCCATTCACTTTATGAAAGAACTCTGAAATTAAAAATAATTCAGAAATAAAAGGGCCTATCTGAGGCATCAAGAGTTCTTAGCAGTAGTATTCAAATACAAAGTAGACAACCTTTGGTCTGAGTATTTATAGAATAAAAATACTAGAAGGAGAATAGGACTGAGTGGGTCCTAATGTAACAAAATGCCAACCTGGAACTGGACACATTTATAATGCTTTTTTGGCCTCGTCCCCAGATTATTCTCATTAAGTACACTTGTGATAGGGCTTCATAATCTGCTTTCTCAAAATGCAGGCTCAAAGACTGACACAGCCAGCCAGTCCTCGGGAAACTCGAAGATTCTATGTGAAGCCAAAAAAGAGGTCGGCCAGACGAAGAGATAAAGGCAGAGGCATAAATGAAACCGCAATTCAACGTGAGATCAAATCCACGGCAAAGGCCCGCAACAGCAAAAATAACGTGCAAAGTAACAGCAGCAAAGTGAGAAAAAGAGTTCATTCCGAAGCTATCGCTGAGGGCTTATTATTTTGAGGCAGGGTCTCACTATGGAGTCCAGGTTAGCCTCAATCTCACAATCCTTCTGCCTCAGTCTCCTGAGTGTTGGGATTACCGACCTTATCACAACATCCACTTCAGTCACTAAGGGTTTGTTGTGGGTTGTAAATAAATCAATGAACAAATAAATAAAAGTCAAGAAAAATTTACTACCCAACCTGTTAAAATTGACAGTCTAGTTAACCATTCAAGACACACATCAAGTAACCAATAACAAGAAAAAGTAGAAAGAACACAGTTAAACACCTAGAATTTGCATAGTACTTGTTGATAGTTTACAAAGTTATTATCTCTACATTTAAGTACTAAAGGACACAAAGATCAGAATCTATGTATGATGATTTCTTAGAGAATTAGTATTACCTGGATTTGACCAAATACATGATATTTATTCACATCTAAATATAAATCAATAGGGTCGGTGCTGCTCGGAAGCACCCTCTTCATCTCCTTTCTGGTGCCCTAACTCCGTAACATCTGCTTCATTTCATTTTTATGCTTGGATTAGGGGCAGATGAATGGTCATATCATTCATAGGCAGAGCAGCACGTGTAGATTTAGTTCAAATACCTACATCGTACAAAAAAACCCAGTTTGACCAACTCACCTTTCCAGCCACAAATGGCATGTCACGCAAGCATAATCTATAATGAGGCTGTGCACCAAAGTAGTTCCTAGGTCCTTTCTGAATGGAAAGAAAAAAAATTCTTTTTATTCACATGATGAAGAAAACCTGACTACATACAATCAACATGCGACTCTGAGGTTACTACTGATCTACAACTTGTTTGATCTATGTAATGCGACGGTCTTGAGCAAATACTTATCATTATGTATCCTTCCAAATACTTATCATTATGTATACTTGCCTAGGAAAGGCTAGAAAAACAAATGATTGACAAAATAACAATTATATGCTAAGTAGAGAAATAGTATAGCGTTACATAAAGCACTGAAAAACAAAGGATGATTAATACAAGACTGAATAAGACTAATAATTTGTTCATTATTCTGCAGTTTCAAAATGCTTTCATATATACTATGTCACTACCCGGGTAAAAATGAAGCAGTATCCTTCACTTTGTGAGTAAAGAAACAGAATGAGTCACCTTTTAACTTATGGGTGTTTGCACACAATCTACTAATTAGCACTTTGCCTGAATAGTTCTTTTATCATACCTTTTCGGATGGTTTTGACTTCTTTTTTTTAATTTTTCTTGCAATAGGAGTATATGAAGTTGTTTTATCTTCAAAGGTAAGTCTCTTTGTTTCTAGATCAGTCTGCAACTAGGAAAAAAAAGAGAGCCTAAATTTAATGCTGTGGAAATAAAAGTGGCTGTTAAAATTTGAGATCTACAATGTACAAGCTTACAAAATGTAACAGCAGTATCTGATTGGAAAATAAATAATACACTTATAGAATTGTAGAACCACTATTTCAACTCTGTCAAATATATTTTATAACACAAATCTCTCATTTTATCTTGAACTACTATATTAAACTATGTCCTTTCTCATTCTGGAACCTAAATTTCCATTATTGACAGTTGCTCCATAAATTTTATTTAGTGAGTTAAATGCCATGTATGGAACTCTAAACTGACCATGCAATATTTTCCCTTTTCAAAAATGGTGTCTACCACAGTGCCATACACACAGAACAGTTGGAGCACAAAATACTCAACTTTTAAGAAACATATATAAAGTGCTTACAAGGAGGAGGAACTGGAAAGCTATGTCCAAAAGCACCAGAGGCTATTTTAGTTAATATGAAGTCCTTTTCTTAAGAACCTAACTATAATGAAATAATACCTTATCTTTATGGTATAAATTCCATAAGCAATTACTAAGTGTTTCAAAAACTGGCATTGTTTTCTAAACCAGCTGTCAACATTCTTTAAAAGACAAATGAAAAAAAATGAGCCTATTAAAGTGGTTTTCAAATTTACTGTGTCCAAATATCAGACATTTCATCGCCAGACTTCTCTTTATACATGATTTTAAAGCTCCCAAGTTGGAGATACTCGTATTTTTTAAGTACTTTAAAAAGTTCCCCAGGACTGTAACTCAACACTTGGGAGGCTGAGCAGGAGAATCGCTCTGAGTTTGAGGCCACCCTGGCCTACAAAGTTAGCTCAAGGGCAACCTGAACTGCATAGGGAGACCCTGTCTCAAAAAGGCAAAAAACAAAACAAAACAAAACCAAGCAAACAAACCAAAAAAAAAAAAAAAAACCCTAAAAAGTTTCCCAGGAAAGTATGATAGAACTAGAAAAATAATTAAACTCAATGGGCTAAGCAAAGCAACGCTGAGGTCATGTCTAGTATTTCCCCAATGACTGTACTTTGGGGGAACAAAATGTGTTTACTGACACAGGAGCACAGGGGTCTCTACCTCAGGAGCACCATACACTTTCCCGTAACCATTCTTTTAAGTATAGCAAATATAACACTCAATGAGTAGGAAATTACTCCTCTGAAAGACTTATAATGACAGTGAATGTGAGCAGTAAACAAAAGAGTGGCCTTGTGAGTACTCTAACTACCATCTCGTTCTTCCTAGCAGTTCTTACATTTTTGAGGCAGAGTATTATCATTCTAAAGTTTGCTGTTATTTATCTCACTTGAAACCACACATCCCTGGCCATTGTTCTTCCACTACAACTGTGCTCACTATCAGAATTTAAAATCTTTCCTCATCATCAACAAGTTATTTGGTCCCTACTTTTTGCCCACTAAATGAAAAAATAAAGGTACCACACATTAAGTTAAAATTCATAAAATAAATGTTTTATTTTTGTATATCATATATAAAGGATTCAATAACACAATGAAACAGCCTACTCTACAGTCAGAATAGGGAGAAAAAATTTGTGTAAAATCAAAAATAAACTTTCATGGCTACAGAACTTGGAAAGCACACTGAGAAAGATATAAACCTACGAACTGATTAGAAGGTAAACACAGAAGAAAATACATCAAGTTCAACAGAAAGAAAATATGTTAGTATCTTTCCTGTCACTGGGACAAAATACCTGATACCCTCAAACTAGAGGAGCAGAGGTTTATTCTGGCTATTTTCAGAGGATTCACGGCAGAGGGGCATAGTGGAAAGAAGCTGCTCAACCCAGGCCAGGAAACAACACAGGGAGGAGCTGGGGACAGAGAGATCTGCTTCCAGGTCAGACGCCCGACCCGCCTCCAAGCAGGGCCCACACCCAAACAGCTCATTCAGCTATGGAACGAGTTGACAGACGAAGCCTTTGTTGAGTACAGTAGCCCCTGATCCAACCAGCTTGCAAACACATGACTTTGGGGGCATTTTAGATGAGAGCCAGAACAGAGAACATACTAAGTCAGGGAATTCAAGGGAGTACCAGCAGAGGTAAAATGGCATTTACATTCCAGGGATCACATTTATGACATGAGCACAGAACACCACACATTTCATCTAAAGAGCCTCTGCTCCTGTGTTGAAATCTGGACTTGCCTCTAATATTAATGAGAAAAGATTCTTGCAAATGTCATAAAGATCTTGGGAAGAGGAGGAGAGTATCTGGAAGATATTCAGGCAAATAACTTCAGAAGGAGTCTTCACTGAAAAACACAAAAACTTAATGAGCCTGCAAGATGATAGCAACACTCTCTCTATCTTCTAGAAATGCAGACTGACTGGCACATATAAATTCAACGTTGTTGTGACTCTGTTCAGCCTCAGCTTTTCTAACTGGTGGCCACTGCATTACATGGAATCCAAAACCAAGACAACAGAGCTCATTCTCCGGACATCACAGCTCTGTCAGCTGGTTTAGGCCACTAGGTACTACAGCAATGATGGCGAACCTTTCAGACTTTCAATGATATAAATAGTCAACTGCAGCAGGCATGCCACTGGCATGCCACCAGAACAACCAGTGTTTCAATTTCTGTTCTTGTATCTTGATGTTGCCAAGAAATGAAACATTTTTTTATGAAGCGCTGGGGATCAAACACAGTGCTTTGTGCATGGTGTAAGAGAGCTAGATCCCTAGCTTGAAAAGCACTTGTAAGAACTGCTCAAATTTTCTATTTGTAAAAGTACCTGTTCCTAACTCTGTACTTTACTTTATACAGTAGACTATTCTAAAATGTAAATACTCAAAGATCCTGAAACATGACTGTTTATTCATATCCAGAGCAGTAAAAAATGAGGATCCTACTTGCTGATAGTTCAACTTACCTCATCTGCCTTAGCTTGCATACGTTTCCTTTCCTGTTCTTCTTCATGAAGTTTTGCTTCCAATTCTTGCATTTTTTTCTAGAGATAAAAATATCGAAAACGATGAATGAAAAATGTTTATTAGTGTAACAACATAGAAACATGCTATATTTTTAAACATGGTCAACCTGAGCTTGTTAAATCAATCTAGTAATGCCTCTGGGCTTGAAAACACTCCTGACACTCTCCTTTGTGATCAAGTAGTAGTCATTTTTGAAGTAGTTAGACAGAATTATAGGTAAAATATTTGGCCAAAGAACACAGTTCTGTATTAAGGTAACTCTGGAAATTTACTCAGTGGTATTAAATGTTTTGCAAGTGTTACAGTTCAAACTAAAATTAATTCAGACAACAATTTAAAGTGATGCAAGCCTTAAGAACACTCAAAACAATTTCACTCTTTCAATATTTTCAAAAAATAACTCCCTTGTAACCTCCAAGATTGAAACGTGAAAATTCTTCAACTGTTTGCATTATAAAAATTCCTATATATTTTCCTTTAATAAGATCAACTTTACTGCTATAAATAGTCAGGGATGCAAATTAATTTCAAAAAATGATAACCACATGATTATATATTAATGAATAAAAGATGTATTACTGACTTCTGCAAGGGCCTGCATTGTGGTAAGTTTGTTATATTCTTGTTCAAGAAGATCCAGTTTTACAAGTTGGCTCTGAACATGTGTTTGATCATGTTGTCGTTCTCTTTCTAGGGTCACCTAAGAAACAATACAGCACAATAATAGTCAAAACTCCAAAAAGTTACTAAAACTGTGTATTTCTTAGGATATACTATGTTATTTATCTGGCCTTTCAAAGAACTATTCTGATAAGGAGAGTAATTCTAGATTATGACATTAAGATAAAACCACAGGGGCATTAAAAAGTGATTGGTTTAAATGTATATTGTTTTTACTGTATACTGTGTTTTACCTAATTTTATATGGTAAGAGCGTCTTCATGCCCTGGAACAGCAGGAATTTATTGGACATCAAGCCTTTATAAACACAGATATTTTTAGTTAGTCTGGTCCTCTTAAGTAGTTACTTTCCTAATTAGGTGCTTTGTGTTTATCTTTTACACAAACTTACTCACCCCTATCTTTTTTTTAAAAGACAGAGTCCCTCTCTGTAGTCAGGCTGGTCTGTAATTCCCTTTATAACTTAGGGATGGCCTTGAACTTTCAATGCTCCTATCTCAGCCTCTCCAGTGTTGGGATAAGCAAGTGCCTACAAGCCCAGCAACATTTTCATTTTTGTTTCTTCAAATTTAGGGCAAATGAATTAAAAGTCTGCCTTTTATATACACTTAACCATTGGCAGTCACAGAAAAAAAACATGAAAATAGAGCAAGAAGAGGAAAAATACTAAATTAAGATCTAAAGGAAAAAGCCAAAACACTAAGTATCTGAACTTGTAAGTATATTATCTTCATATGTAAGTTTACAGTAGTAATCATACTAAAAGAACTTTTAATATGAGAAAATATTAAATACTTTTATCATAAATCAGTGTAAACTGCTAATTCCTCTCCATTCACTTCAGTGGACAGACACAGTGTGGGAAGAATGTGTTAACCTGTTCCAAGTACTACAGCCGCTCCTATTAAACTACCCATATTAAACATACTATTTAAATTTTACTGATGAATCAAGGAGTTCAATCCAGACATCTATTATCTACATCTAATAGTTGTTTGCTACATGTATTAGTCAAAGTATGTCACAACTGTCTTACTAAACTGATGCCCTTTTTCTTACCAACCCATTCTAGAAATGTTACAGAATTCAGCAACAATAAATGATTACACTGAAAATTTGAAAGCAAGAAAGAAAAATTTCAATATTCAAAACAGGTAAGAGACTCTAAAAGCAAATGAAGAGATACTGAAGTTAAGTATCACATGAGGCACTACTGAAGATTGCATATATAAGATGTGCAGGAAGACAATATAAAACCTCAAGCAACAGATCATCTACAACAACAAAATAACAACGAACGACTGCAGGACGTAAATGTGGACTAAAACCAGTGAACACCATCATGCACCAGCAAACACAAATTCACGCCTGCCTCGTAAGTCTGTTCACACAATTTATGATGTATGAAACTTCCAAGATGAAACAAAAGGATTAACTCTGAAACAAGTTTTTTAAAAAATGGCTCATAGTGCTCACAAAGGTAAAAGAATAAATGGAAAAATATATTAAAATAAAAATGTGGGTGGAAAAAGACCCAACTAAATAAAACTATTGTCATGTAATTAATAAACTCAATGGCACAGTGAAGAGACATATAAAAGATTATTTAGACATTTCTTCATATATAGCATGCTGTATGACTGTTCAGATATTTCTTAAGTCTGACTAGGACTGAAAGATAATCCAAGGTAGAAAGCATCAGTCACATTTCTCTTTTATACAGTAGAGGACCTAGCATGTTAAGCACACAATCAATCAAATTTTGCATAAAGTTACGATGTCCAGAATTATGGCTTATGATGAATTTAAATTCTACAGTCACAGGAGGAAAACGAGGGATGCTTTGAAAAACATACTGGACACTAATGCTGCAAATGCCCTCAGAAAGGTGCAAGTTACTTAAACGCAAAGACCCCTGGTGGAGCAACAGAGAAATGCACAGAGCTTTACAAAGAATTGTTAGCTTTTAAATCTGCTCTTTCACTTGAACCTCTCAAACAAATTTAAGGGGTGCAGAGGTATATGAGCATCTATACTTTTGATAATGCAGACTCAAGGATGTTAATTTTAAAATACCCCACAACTATTTTTCCAATTTAAATAAAATTCTACCAAACACAATAACAAAGAGCCAATTCCACAAATGATCCCAAGAATTTGTAGCCCTGGGTTATTGTAGTAGCATTAAGTCGTTAGAGAGAAAAAAGGTCTTTACTTCAATTACTTCTTTCAAATAACTATTGAGTATCAGTCTGTGAGGTGCCATACCTGTTTCTCTAGGACAGATGTTCTCTCCATTTCTGCATGCTTTATCATATTCCGCATATACTCCAATTGTTTTTCTAAAAGATTACATTTATTTTCTGCAGCAAGCAACTGAGATGTCAGTTCTACAATGAATACATAAGAAAAGCAGAAATCAGCTCAACCCACAGAATAGATTTAGTAACTAATTCAATCTAAAACATACAATATCAACAGTATATTCCAGTAGTGCTGGAATCACCTAAATCATTCCTTTTCTATACGCTAGTCAAATATACCTTACAGTCAGGAATATATGACATCAACACTTGCTCCTTAAACTGCACCCTAGTATAATGTAATTTTGCAATGTCGGAAGATCGTTTTGGAATAACTTTACAATTCTTACTGTGATAGAATTTAATTTCCTTCATAATTAAACAAACCTTGATTATGCTTTGATTCCTCGTTCTTTGAATTCTCCCTTTCTTGTATCTGTTCATCTAGTACTTTTTTATATTCACTTGTTTCTCTAGACAAAGTTTTCACACTTTCTTCCGCCTGAATCCTTTCAAGTTCTAAGCGTCGAATCTTATCTTGAAGATTCTTCAGAGCAGAAAATATGGCTGCCAAATATATAACAGATACTGTAAGATAAAAACATTTAGAGAAAATTCCCTGACAAATTAAAATGGACGAGTAGGTTCAGTGAAGCAACACTCTTTGGAACATGAACTTTTTATTTACAAGATTACACACAGACTAATTGTAGGATTAAACATAACCAAGCATGAAAAGAACTTTGTTAAACAGTATTTCTTCATTATTTAGGAAAAAAACCTAAGTAGCCTTTATACTATCCCTTAGATGTTTCTAATTCCAGGACATAATACATATTTATTATAAAAATGTAGAAGACACAGGGGAACACACTGAAGAAAATAACCACCAATAATCCTATTACCCAGAGACAATGACTATCAATTTTGGTTCTTTCAATCTTTTCATAAATGTGTAAAGTAAACTAAAAAAAAAGTATGTAGGTTTTGCTTTTTTAGTGTTACTAAACAAGAATCACTCACATAATCATATAGTTTTAAAAATTATTTCCTCATAAACAATAACTAAAAATTTTTAAATGGTCAAAAATGTTTTTATTTTATATATTCCTGAAACAGAGCACCTTTAAGCTGCATCAGTTTACTTTCATCAGAAGTATGTAAATATGGCATATAGCATTGGAATTGTTTGCTTGGTTTATACACAGCTTTTTGTGGAAATTTCTCCTTCATTGGAGAATATCATAGCTAAAACTTGAATGATTTACTTTTTTTTTTAACCTTTTCACAAATCTGGCTATTTGATACACAAGGGACGCTCAACTGAAGGCGAGAATGGTTGTCTTCTTGAAACTTCTGTCTGAAAGTTGCAATGACAACTAATTCAACTTAAAACTCAAAAGCTGTTTAACAGCTATGTTTCCTACCACGTGGGAGAAGGTAGTCAGAAGCAATGGAGAATGAAGCTAGTTAAAATAAAGTGCTGGCCACTCATGAATCTCTGGTTCCTGATGTTGCTAAATACAGCTACCTGCACACTTGTCCTTCCTGTTCTTGGTTGTTCAATCTTCCCAAGTAGGATTGTAAACTAGAAACATTCTTCTTTACCGAAGCTAGTTTACTAATGGGACATTTCAATCACATATGACTAAATTTTTAGTATCTGTACTTTGTTTTCCAAGCTTAAAAAAAAAAATCTATCAGAAATAGATAATAATTTTATTCTATCAATGGAAAAATTTTATTTTATCCCCTTACTTTTTAGTTAATTTCAGATTTTTGGACCTAAGTGATTTACATTCCTATCTTCAAGGATTGTATTAAACATATGTTTTGAGTTTTTTATTTCTAACAAACTTGTCTGTTTCAAGCTTAGACGTTCTGGGTGATCAAGTAATGGATTTTACACGTTTTCCCCCCTTACATTGGTATGTAAGGGATTCCATTTTCTTTCTATCGCCCTCTCTTCTATGAGGTCAGAATCACTGTGCCATTTATACTTCTATTACTCAGAAAAACTGTTGAGCAACATACACTCCTTGTGGAAATGAACAAGAACAATATAAAGATTTTAAACTTTATATACTGGGAAGAGAGCAGGGACTGTATTTGTGGAAAAAGGAACAAACTCCTAAATATTTGCTGAAAGAAAAAATAAAGGTGACAGACTAAAATATAACACTGTCCATTTTTTTTTTTCCTGAATCTACTCTTAGGGCATACACTATATGTAACATTTTTATCCTCCATATTATATACAATATTTCTGAACGTTACCTGTTCAAGGATTAATGAGTTCTGGTTAGTTATGTAAGAGAATACAAATACAGGAAAAGTAGAGAAATGAAAGAAGATGCTCAGTTTTCCTCAAGTAATACAGTGGTACCACAGTACTTGTCTTTAAGTAGTTCTGCAAAGCACAAATACCAAAAATGATGAGCATCAAATTGCTTCAGCTGGAAAAGGTAGTGAGTCACCAAACAATGCACACCAACAACCTCTAGTTGGCATGTTAAGTATGGGGGAAAAAAGAGATCAAATTAGCGACAAAATGTTTGTGCCAAAAATGCATCGATCTCCACAAAATGTCATGTGCCACAAACATATACCAACAAATTTTTGTTTTTAAAGTGTCATGTACCAAGGTATAGCTACTCAACCCTCCCTGAAACTTGAGTTCTTGGGTAGAAGGAAACAAGGTGACATAGACTTCAATTCAATAAAACTTGGGCTGGGAATATGGCTCAGTGGCACAGCGCTTGTCTTGCAAGCATGAGGTCATGAGTTCGAATCCTGATACCACCAAAAAAAAAAAAATCAATAAAACTTATAGATCTCGTGATGGATAAGGGAATAAGGTGGAGATAACGAAAGTCTCTGCCCACAAGGAGCTATCATGCAGACTCTAGAACAGACGTTATCTGCATTCTTCTCACATCCTGTAAAAGTATTTACAGAAACAAAGCAGTACTGTGCACGTACTCATTGTTTCCTACTGTGATTTCCAGAGTGTGAGGGCTAGGTGCAGAGTGTGCAGGGGTCATGAGACATTTCCCAGGGTCTACTGAGGTCAATACTGTTTTCACAATACTGATAAGACTTTTTTGCTCTTTTTATTGCATAGACATCTGAAATGATGACATAAAAGCAAATACAAGTACCTTTTATTAGTGTGCAATAAAATGGGATATACATAAAATATACACCAAAGGACAAGAGTCTCCATTAAGAATTTTTAATACTAAGCTTGAACCAAAACCATTTCCTTCACAGTAGGTCATTTTATTTGAAAGAACTTCTGATAAATGAAGCATATTGAGAGTTAGATATCTGGCAGTTATTTTTCCCAAAAAAGGAAGAAGTGAGCCTGTTACTTCAGAGATCTTACAGTATTTTTTTGTGAGTGAGGGTCAAGCCTATCTTAGGTGGTCAAGCCTATCTTAGGAGGGGGCTGGGGATGGTGGCTTGGTGGGGGATGCTGGCTAGGGCACACAGGACGCCTCACTAGCCTATAGGAAGCAGAACTAGTTGCTGATAGGTGCACAGAAGAATACAATCCATGAAAACCTCTGGAATGGATACAGCCCTGAGGCAGACAATATGTCACAGGCCCCACCCAGTAGGAAAGGCAGGGCAGGATTCAGCACTCAAACAACAGCCTGTGAAATGAGTATAAAAACACAACAGGCCCTAGCTACTCAATGTCTCTCTCTCTACATAACTTGTGGATTCCAATAGTACAGATCCTGGAAAGAAGCTTTACCCAATCAAACACCTCACAGCAGAGGAATATTTTTGGACTAATTTTTTTGTCTTTATTTTTTTTCATTTTCTTGTTTGTTGTTTTGTCCTGTTTTACAGTTTTATTTTTTTTTTCATGAAGAAGACAAACTCTATAGGAAATTGAAAACTGAAAAGACTGAGCTATGCTCCTAGTAAAATATACAGAGAACATGTAATTGTATATTCATACATTGAGGTTATTTTATTAGGTTCCTGTACATGGCGTATCTTTCTTCTAATCCACCCCCCAACACTCTCTTAGACATCTCTGCATTTGCAGGAAAACTACCACCTTGTCTCCTATCCATATCTTTTATTGTGTTCTTTGTATTTTGCCTTATTCAAATGACAGCTCCTATAATTATATTTAAGCTTGGGTCTGATTTATTTCACTCAACATTTTATTTTCCCAATACATCTATTTTCCTACGAACATCTCAAATTTGCCCTTCACAGTAGTATTCCGTGTATAAATATGAACGAGTAAAAAAGCAGAACTTCCCCAGACCCTCAAGTAATGCACATAGCCTCCCTCTCTTAACTCCTTACTTTTAGCCTTGAAAGACTCTAAGCACAAGACCCAGATGGGCCCATCCAGACTTTTGACTGTGATATAACAAATGTTATTTAAAGCTGCTATAATTTGTGGAATTATGTTGAGGCAACGTGACAACTAATATAAATGGTAAGTTCTAGGTACAAATATATTTCAAACTAGTCAGAGCAAAGAATGTAGGGTAAGGAGGAAAAGAAAAGGTTAGAGATGAGGTTATTAAAGCAAATAGGATGTAAGATATGGGAAATCTAAGACATTATTATTATGTGAGCCATAGAAAGGAATCAGAACTTTTTGTTTGAAGATAGACATAATGGACAATGACAAACAGCAATAATGTTAACCAGTGCCTTAGTCACCTTGTTGCTGGAACATAATACCTGATACCCACAAGTTAAAGAAGGAAAGGTTTATTTTGGTTCACAGTTTGTAGAGGGTCCAGTCCAGTCAGCTGGCTGCAAGGCAGGGCGGTATGAGAGATAAGAAACAGTTCAAGGCACAGCAGGCAGAAAATAGCCAAATACTTTAGAACTACACAATAGAAAAGATAGTTCAAGGATGTCACAATAACCAGAAGGATTCTAGCCTTTGATGCCTTAAAATTGGAAAGGTGAAAGACTGCACTGAGAAGACAGCCCCAGAGCACCATGTTCCAGCACAGTGGTGACCTAGGAAAGTTGTTCCTCACAACTGGGTTCATCACACTCAGAAATCCAGTCACTCAACTCCTACAGCCAAGAGCAGGAAGCCTTGCTACTGCTCTAGCTGGCAAGAAACCTTGACATCCTGTGCATAATGCTGGTTTAAGGCACATGCACAATGCAAAAGTTGTGGGGTCAGGAAGGCTTCCACCCAGCGTTCACAAGAAGGTCTGGGAAGCCAGACAGTGAAGCCAAAGTTGCAGTAGAGATCCCTGAAGGCTGGAGAAGCCAGGAACATGGATGGTCTGTAGAAAGTTGCAAGAAGAGAGCAAAGCTGGCCCAAAAGAGAAGCCATGAGAGCTGCAACCACCAACAGTGCTGTAGGGGCTGAGCCACCCAATCCCTTTGGAGTTCACATCTTGGGGCAGATTGTCCTGGATGCTAGACGAGGAACAGTAGGACCTAATGTTTACCCTGCTGGATTTTAGTCTTGCTTTGGTCCCATTCTTTTACGCCCCTATTTGGAATGGGATTGTTTATCTTGTGCCACAGACAGTTTCTCCTCTGCCAGGACACCCTACCCTAGATCTGGGGACTATGGACTGAAACCTCTACAAACCATGAGCTGAAATAAACTTTTTCTCATTTACCTTGTGGATGTCAGGTATTCTGTCCTAGCAACACGCAAGTAACTAAGACAACTGAGGATGAGAGGCAGACAGCAGGCAAGGAGTACATTATGACACATTATTAGTTAGGGATACATTATGACATATGGGTAACATATGATGAGAACCAACACAAATTAAAAAAAGACAAAACAATACCCTTTTGAAATTTTACAGAAGTAAAAACAGTCTTGATTCCTGACTAATGTTAGATATGACAGACCTGGCATAGGTGACTCAAGATAGTTCAGTGGATGATAATGTTCCACAATCAATATAAGGAACACAGTAAAAGCATTATATTTTGAAGTTAGAAACAGAGGGGGGAAATATGTATTTTAATTCCAAAATTATAGAGAACAAAATTAAAACTTTTAAAGCAATGAGAAAACAAATTATATCCATTCCATTAGGGTCTATTTACCTCTACTATTGCTTTCTGGATAGGCAAATGTAGGCTTATTTGGGGAGCGTCGTAGTTCACTATTAAGGAAAGGTTTATCAGGTGGATATAATACATATTGAGATGAAGAACGAACCGTATTTCCATCAGACTGTGATGTTTCAGCTAAGTTATTCTGAAAAATAAATAGAGATACTGTATTAACTTTCAAAAATTTAAACCACAAATATTCATGACACATTTGGCCTATGGATATGTTTTTCAGATAAGGGACAATAGAGAATCCACTTGCTATGTACTATAGACTTCATTATTTATAATGACAAAATATTATTTATACTGATAAAATATAACTTTTTTTTTTTGACATGGAGTCCCACTGTACAGGCTGACCTCAAACTCATGGTCTTTCTGTCTCAGCCTCCCAAGTACTAGGATTGCAGGCATAAACTGCCACTTCAGGCCTCAATGCAAGTTTTAGAGAATTAATTTGAGTTTCACAGAACATTCAAGCAACAGGTAATTCAAGACTTACACAACTATTTTGAAAATAGATTAAAAAGGAACATGGAATCTATTCATTTTATGAAGAATCTCTGATCTTGAAACCAGATTCCAATGTTAGAAACATTATAGGAACTTATTTCCTCAGAAACCAATCTAAATATCCTAAACAAAAAAATTACCAAACTACATTAACTACATAAAAAATGATCAAAGTGAGATTACTCTAAAAATGCAAGTCTAGATGATCATTACAGCATTTTTAATGTAAAATAAAAACCTGTATGATCATTAAGAAATGTGAATGCACATTCAATAACATTTGATGTCCAGTAAAGGATAATTTTCTTGTAGTACTATGACACTATCAAAAAAGGGCAAATATACTTAGTAGTAAAAATTTGAAACATTCTTTTCATTTATTTTTTGAGTGTTATGCTTTTTCATTTAGACATGGGATTTTTGTTTTTGTGTAACTTATTAAAATATGCATCTTGGCAGTTATCACAAAAAGTAACACAGAAAATTGTATTTACATTTTGGGACCAAAATACAAATGAAGAGCAGGATAAACACCTTGCTCCTTCCCCTCCTGCCTCGAAGAAATAAAGAAAAGCCCCAAAGAACCTGCTCATCACACTGAGGATCACAAAGGGCTAATATGTAATTTGGTAATTTAACAGAGAAAGACTGCACAAGGCTTCACAAATGAGACCAAAGGTTCCCCATCATCTGCACCTGCTCTGCAGCCACTCCATTGAGCTGGTGAGGTGCTGTCTGTAAGTCAGTGCTCAGCCTTGCTCTTCTCTCCAAGCCACAGCCCTGATGTAGACATTGAGAGGGAGATAGGAAGAGCTGGCTCTATGCCAACAGGGTTCATCACAATCTTTATGTGCCAAAAATGGATAATGGGATTGGGATGGACATATTTGTGTCCTTTCTTCCTTTCCCATGTAAAGACTCCTGGTAATGGGGTTTAAATCATACACAACTGAACCTGAAATAGGAAAAGTTGGTTCAATGGCAAAGAATTGGAGATATGGCTGGGAGACAAACTCAAAGTGACAGACACCTAGAGGAAGCTATTCCAGGCAGCAGGTGCCAGGCACCTGATCCAAATGTTCATTTAGTTTCAGGTAAGAGGTTTTATAATATTAGATCTGGGGACTGGGCAATGGGATAAAACAAGCCACATCAAGAGAAAGAATGTTTTATCCAATTCAAAAGCACAACAAATTAAAACACAGCAATACTTGAGTCCCAACGCAACAGGGACCTTGCACAGCAACGGACACTGAGGAATGCAGAGCCCTGGAATCTTTAAGGTTGGCCTAACTGAGGTCTCCAGAATGGTGAAAATGGTGGGCTCCAAATTCTAGCCCTTGAGAGCTTGTTGAGGGGATTGCTAGCCAAGCTCAGCAGGCTATCGTAACAGCCACCTGTGCCCTTGCGTGTGCTCTATAGGTTTCTACAGTTGCACATCTCAAATTCCTACCACCTATGTCCTTTTAAAATGAAGAACTTGGGGCTGGGGATTTAGCTCAGCGGCAAAAGAGCCTGCCTGGCAAGCGCAAGGTCGTGAGTTCGGTTCCTGGTACCGGAGAAAAACCAAAAAAAAAAAGAAAAAAATAAAATAAAATAAAATAAAATGAAGAACTTGTCAACTTCATACTGCATCTCCTAGCTTGCACATTACGGTAATGACAAGAAATAACAGATAATACAACTGGAAAGGAAGACTAAACTTCATAGGCTGTAACTGTCTAAATAACAACAAAAAACACCAAAGAACCTTCAATTAAAATTAATTGGATACTGGCAATGTTGCTGGATAAAATCAAATGCAAGAATCACTAATTCTTATGGACTAGTTTAAAAATGTAATTTAGGAAAATAAAGATCATACAATAAAAGTATGAAAAGGATTTTAAAATCCTTGTAAAAACTAATAAAAATTAACGATCATAGATGATAACTGTCTTCCCCCAACTAAGCAAAAAGGAGAAATCTATTTAGGGACAAAGAATACAGCAATATACCCATACGCATGTGAAAATTAATATACTGATAAAATTATCAACTGGAGAAAGGATGAATTTTCAAAGGGCAGTGTTGTGGCAGTTATCTTAAATAAAAACACTGCACAAAATAAATTTGTGCCAAGTAAACTAAGGATTTTAAGTTCACAACTTTAAAATCTGTAGAGGAAAATTTAGAGTATGGTAGTTAAGGCCTTGGAATGAAGAAAATTGTCTTGACTCACTAATTGTAAAAAGAGAATCTAACACATTTTACTACTACGTTAAAATTAGAATTCTCAGTAATCAAAAGATAACAAAGGCAAGCCCCAGCTCACTTGAAATAATCCTAACAGACTGAAAATTAACATCGAGAATACATAAATAAATGCCTATAAATCACTCACAAAAGGCAATCCAAGTAAAAAGCAAAAGACAGGAAGAGTCACTTCATTAAAAAAACATTCAATAATAGTAAAGGTCTAGAATAAGGGTACATGCTCACCAATGATTAGAACACAAATTAGAAGAACAAAAACACCATTACAAGAGACTTGTTTTAATACTGCCCTGCCTGTGCTTCTACTTAGCATTAATTTGGACACACTGGTGAGTTGATACACAGAAAATGGTATCTGTTGTTGCAGTGAAAACAGTTTAAAAAGACAAATTGAACTTTAGTGCTCTCTCTGTTCACATTTGAGATTTACAGTACTTTTTACTTGCTTCCTAAACACTGTTATGTATATGCTTGTTTTAAAAATCCTTCTATGATAAAAACATCATCATTTACTGTAATTAACTCGATGTTGGGTTTATTGATGTGGAATACATGAATTGCTAATGCTCACAAAACTGAGCATTAGCTGAATATAAAGTTCATCTTATAGTTTTAAAGCCTTTTTATGCTGGCTTATGTATGACAGCTGTTTGTTAACCTAAAGCGCTTTTTAAATTCTCTTGGAAGTGGCAGGCTTATTTCTTCTTTTTTTTTCTTTTTGTTTTTTGAGGCAAGGTCTCACTATGTAGGGCAGGCTGGCCTCGAACTCACAGAGATCCTGCAGCCTCAGCCAGGGGTGAGATTACAGGCATGCATCACCACCTCCCCGCCATGGCAGGTTTATTTGTAAGTAGGGCCATTTCTGACACAGAGAAATAAAAGTCAGTTTTGTTTTGGGAAACAGAAGTTTCCAAATTACATACTTTGTAGCAGGTCAAGATGATTAAGATACTCTGACTTGTAAAAGAGTTTCGGGTGTTCTCAGGGTACACTTGGTATGCAGAATTCACTTAAAGTTGAATTTGGTGCACAAAACCGCACATGCGTTCTTCACAAACACGCCGAGATTTCTGTTAAGGTTTCAGTAAGGACCCAGGGTTGACCACGTCCCAGAGGCACAGCTCTGCTCCACTGAGCATTCAGCCTTCACTGCTGGGTCTCCAAGTGCTAAGTTTCGAAGGCAACAACAACACTCTTCTGCCACGCTTGATCAACTCCATCCCCGCCGTCATTCACCCGCCTACTTAACGCCTGTCGCGCCACTCCGCTTGTATCGCCCACCTTCTACGGATCTAACTCCGGAACGAGCTCCAACTGTTCCAGTAGCTCCTCCTCCATCTCCGCTCAGCCATTCTGCCAACTTGCTGCGCTCCTTCCACGGACACGCTGTAACAGCCCGGCCTCACTCCCAACCACCTAACGCTCGAACTGAAGGGCTGTGGGCCCCGGGCACTGCGCCGCTCCCGCTGCCGCTGCCCGGGAGCTTCCCCGC